TTGCATTTACACACAGTGGATGAGACAAAAGTAAAAGGTTGATGCTTATGTTCTTGTGCTTTTGACTGTAATAAACTCCACTCCAAATCTGTCAGTTTGTCCAAAGAAAAATCAGTCCTGGCGGTTTTTACACTTTACTCTGATTTCAGCTTTGCTTTATAGATAGATGCCTTTGAGGCCCGTACATAAACCTACCCTAGCTTGTGATGTGAAGAATCTATTTTCTGGCCCTCTGGCTATTCCAGGAACAAAATCTAAGTCTTTCTGTGTGCTTGATTAAGCAGACAGGAAGAAAAATAGCAGAGATTCTAGTTAATGCCTCTAAGTGGAGAGGCAAGAAAAAGAGGTCCTGTGATCATCGCCTGTAATAACCCCATTTCTTAAGAAACCATATGATTGGTAAGTACCTGGAGGTTCTCCAGTAATGCAAGTATTATATAGCCAAGTTTTTCTTTTTTTTTTTTTTTCTTGAGTGCTGGGAATCTAACCCATGCCAAGCAAGTGCTCTACCTCTGAGCTATAGTCTAACCCCAGTTGACACTTAGAGTGAGGGAACTGTGTTGCTTTGACTTTGAGGAGGGGAGAAATAACATTGAAAGAGGAAGTTGTTGCAGATTTGCCACTGCAAAGGACAGTGGCAATTTGACACTGTCTCAACAATAGTGTGGGGTGAAACTGAAGGGTAGAAACAAGAGGCTGCCTTTATACCTTGACTTTAGGTGTGGAAAATGCCTCATACAGTGATTACTATGGAGGGTTGTAGTACTAGCCTGAAATCTAAACTTCACCTTTGGCCTGTGTGACTTGAGGGAATTTGTTTAACTTTTCAATCAATGTCTCAACTTCTGGCATTTAAAAGGGAATTAAAAATAGTACATACTGCAAGGAAGACTGCGGATTGTATGAGATAATGTATATAAAGTGTTTTGTACTGAACAGTTCTTGGATACCATGACAGCTGTACAAATAAATGGTAGTAGGTATTATTAATATTAGTAATAATAATAATGATAATTATCATTTGACCTTGTAGGATTTATCTAGAGTAGTATCTCGTAAGAAAAAAAGGGCTCAAAGCATGCTTACTAATTTATTCCTCTACCAGAATGTCATGATGGTTAAGCTGCATGGTGTGGTGGGTGGTTTGGCTGGTGACAGTAGTCTGAGAAAGGTTGAGTTGGAGAAAACATTGGTAAAATAGACTCCTTGCAACAAGAAAATTTATTTGATAGTTAGCAGTAAGAGTTTAAGAGACCTGCGAAAAAGTTCTAACTCTGACATCAATAAGTTGTGTGAGCGTAGACAATTTATCTTCTTTTCTCATTATTATTTTCTCATTTTTAAAAATAAGGACTGGGGGGGTGGCTGCCCATTAGCTCAGTGGTTTAAGTGCCTGCTTAAACAAAGCATTCAGGCTCAGGATGCTGTGGTTCAAACCCAGATACTCCTGCCAAATGAGAAATGCCCTAATGGCATCTTGAGGCGGCCAAAAAAAATTTTGAAAATCTTTTAAAAATAAGGACTGGGGGTTGTAGAATATATCAGAAACCACTCAAATCTGGCTTATCTGTACTTCCTTCCCCTACCTTCCCTTTGCCTCTAGTTTTTTGCTCCCTTTGTGAAAAAAAATCAAGTCTTTATGGTAATATTATATATACAAAGTCCCCCATTGCACCAATGGCAATTCAATAACCTAGAAGCCAATGGAAGACTGTCTTTTTATTCATTTGGGAAAAATCTACATTGATACCCTCAGCGTAATTCAGCAATTTTTTTTTTAAATTTTATTTATTTGTGTGTGTGCGTGTGTGGCCAGCTCAGCCCACCAGGGGGCAGGGCTGACTGGCATGTGGTGCTGGGGGATTGAACTGTGGTCCTTGTGCTTTGTTAAGCTTGTTCTAAGTAGGTACTTTAGACCACTGAGCCATCTCACCAGCCCCCAGCAATTTGTTTTGTGGATTTATCCAGTATATTCCTCTGGAAGCCAAATCACCTATTTCTTAGGCTTAAATGTGTTAGGCTGCCATGCTGGCCCCACCCCCCTGGGGCACACTAAGACAGAGATTAAGACTGAGTGTGGTGGCGCATGCCTGTAATCCTAACACTTGGGAGGCTATAAACAGGAGAATCACTAAGAGTCTGATCTAGTAGTGAGACCCTGAACATCCTGTAGATCCTTCCCTAAAATT